TAAGCAGGCTTAAAATTAATAAATACAAATGCATTCTGACAGTTAATTATACTTTCTATCTGCAAAATTTCCTTAACCTTAACACAAAAGAAGAAAAAAGTGAACTTTTAAGAAATTTGTGAAACTTCGAGATGAGAAGAATTCCCGGATTAAAAAAACAGCCAGGATTCCATTTGAGAAACACTAATACAGGAAAATACCCCCGAAATTTTAAAAAATTTCTTGATGTTTCTAGGTCCTGATTCCAAAATGTAAAAATCTGGGGGGGGTCATTTTTTGACCAATCGCAATACTTTCCATATGTTATATATAACAGCCAGGAAAGTAAAAATCAGAAAAATTAACCAACATACAAATTTAAATAATTAATTCAACATTTTATGCATAAACAAATTAATTAATTTGTATTAAAATTTTTAATCTTCTGAATCATCATTATCACAAATAAAATTCAAAATTATTATTAAATATTGTCGAATACTATGTACATTCCAGCAGAGCAAAGTCTTTCAATAATAATTCAATAATTATGTAATAGTTCATAACTGGAATATAGGTTCTTAGATTATATGCATCAATTAAAATATAATTAAAGAGAAAGAAATTCCTCCATCTTATTACTTTCGAATACTATAAAAAATTTTCAATAATGTGAAAAACTGAAATTTTATTATTTTTTATTGTCAAAATTGCTTTATATACTTTATTTATATTGTTTGATTAATGTAAGAATTTCATTTGGGATGATACACATTCCACAAATGTTCTTCTAAGAAAACAGTGAAATTTACATCAAATATTTTTAATTAATTTACTTTTACTTGATTAAAACCTTTTGAGACAAAAGCATTTGCGCTCTACATTTTCTCTCATGTTAACATACACATTGGTTGATGACTGATTATTAACTGTCAACTTATAAGATTGATTTAAATATCCTTACAAATTCATTAAATTTTAATACTCATTTTTTTTTTTTTAACATCAAATTTTGTACATATTAAAATCTTTCTATATAATATCTATATAACACACCAATAAATTCCATTTTATAATAAAATTTGACTCTTTAAATTATATTAATTAAGATTCCATCTTCTTAATTTCCTTCGTATCGGTGTAAGCGTAATAAATAATACAAAATAATGCAGACGTCACTTTACAAAAGAGACTGATGTATTTTTGAAATGTTTCGAATCGAACGGCCAAATTTCACATCCAACTCCATACAAAAGGCTTCAGTCACCGCATTAAAAAAAATCAATGGAATCGGTCCAGCTGTTTCGAAGATACATTTCTGTACACGTGTCACCTTGTCCCAGCAGGCATCTTCATTCTTCTTGTCATCAGACATCTCTACAGATAAAATGACACAACAACTTTGTTTGTTTACATCTATTATTTGAAATTATCATTTCTCAAAATTTTCAAAAAAATATTTTTCAGTTGCACCTAGTCTTTAGGCAGAAATGAACAGAGATATTAAATTTGGTAAATTTTTTTTTCTATTTTTTTTAATAACTACAGACAAAAATTCAATCGCTGCTTTGCTGTTTTATGAAAATCCTGAATATAAAATTTTATAATTTCAAAATAAAATTTTTAAAACTAATATTAAACTTCATAAAATATTTTGAATTTTTAACAAACGTATTTCAAACTTTCTATTAAAAAACGATTTCGGCACATGAGATATAGTATTTAAATGAAAAAAACTATACTATACCAAAAGTTAAAATATATATATATAGGAAATTTTAATTAAACTAAAAATTTGAAATAAAAAAGTATTCAAAAGAAAGTCCAAATTTTATATAATTATAAATAAATTTTTTCATTAAATGACAAATTATAGCCTACTGATTAGTCTCCAAAGCATACAATATTATACGTAAGTTATCATAATGTAAATTTATTATGCAGGAAAGAATAGATTGGAGCAAATAAATTTGGGTCGCGTTCATATAATTTCTTTATATTTGTGAACTTGTATAAAAAAAAAAAATTATGAATAATTTCTAAACTGAAATCCATTAACTGACATTTATTATATTTAGTTTAAAAAAAGTTACCTATTTAGACTAAATATATTCCTGTCAAATGAGAGATTACATCAATGTTATCAGTTAAGAAAAGAGAAATTATCTGTAAAAATCTAGTTCTTAAGCAACTATTGTGCAAATTTCCATAAAAGAAAGCAGTAATGTAAAAACATACTTGAGTCATACAGGATGGACAAAATTATGTAATTCCTGACTATATTAATACATGAAAAATACTTTCGTAGTTTCTTACACTTTCAGATTATTTTTTTCTGTCAATTTAAAAAAAAAAATGATGTAAACAATTTTAATTCTATTAAATTTCATAAATTTTCATCGTATTATTCTGATAAATGCTTACACTTCATGTGAAATTATTGTTACATTAAATATTAACGTAAACAAACCAATTTTTAATTTTGAAAGTGCATAAAAATATTCATTTAAATTATTTATTTACATTAATATTAATTGTTGTTATATTTAGTAATAGTTTTAATATATAAGATATTAAAATGACTCCTTACTTTATATATATACGGTTACAAATCTATGAATCTCAACTTCCTATCATGTTAATTTCTTTACTTCAGAATTTCCTTAGCTACTTAATAAATAATTTTAAAAAACTTAGTTTAGCATTTTGCGCATAAAATAATAAAAATTCTCTTTTTCTTAAACAATGTCTATATGAACTACATTGTGCATTTAACAAAGATTTCTTAAGAAGAAAACAGCAGACATTTATTTATTATCATCTATAGTTTAAATACATGTTTTCTATAAAAAGAATTATTCAAAACTTCCAAACTGTTAACAAAAATAAAATCTATACTTAAAATACTTAAGACAAAGACAGTGAAGTGGAAGAAAAATAATTTTTTTTTTAAATTACTTACAATCAATACAGTTAAATAATCAAGAAAAAATATACTTATTTAAGCTAAAGCATAAAGTTAATTTTCTTTATACTATTTTATGAAAATTTGGATGTTTACATGCTAAAATGGTCATCTTCCAGAACAGTGATACGAACTTTAATGATCCGGCATTTGTACAATTGTTCCCTAAGGTGAGACTTAATTTGGAAACATTCCAATAAGTTCTATCAAGCAGTATGTGAATTATAATTTATATTAAGAGTTTAATTGATTGAAAACCTATTAGATTTTTTTAAATTAGTAATTTTAACGATGCTATAGAGCTAATTTTTTTTCCTAAGTTAGTACAAAGATTAAAATATATATATATGACTACATTTGGGAAAATAATTAGAAAAAAAAAATACAGAATAATTATAAAATAGATAATATACAGTTGAAAAAATAATTAATTAATCTTGTTTATAAATTAATTAAAAAGTACAGTACAACTAAATGGATTGGACTATCCAAAATGTTTATCATAGAACATCCTCCATAGAATTAATTTTTATATTCTGTAATAATTTTAAAGTAGTAATAAATTATCATTTGCAGCAAATTAATGAACAAAAAACACATTTTTTTAATATGGTGATAAATTTTGTAGCGTTTTCCCAAAATTTTTTCAAGTTTTTATAAAATTATCAATTTTTAATGAATCATCATAATTTTCTGCAGTAATGTCAAAAAGCTTAACAAAAGAAAACCACATACTTATCACCAGAATTAAGTTATATCATCATTAAATATTTTATGGCAATTCTGAAAACTTACATGGCAAGAGAAAACAACAAACACAGCTTTTAATTGATAGGTATTAAAATATCTTTAACAGATCATTTATATGTTTTCCTCAACAATTACAAAAACAAGTGCATATGTCTAAATTTACATTAAATCTTGCAAGTGTATGAATAACTCAATTATAAAAAATCTTTATACTAGTTTTATTAATATTTTTTACATACTTATGGGATATCTTTATTTTGATAAAGATAAGCTAGAAAAAATTTATATATTTATATCATCTTTAAGTTTTACTATGGAATGAGAATAAATAATAATCACATCACCACCACCTTTAATATAACATGAAAGACATTTTTAAATAGTCCCTCCTACTACTTGCTTGTTTTTCAGCTCATCTTCGGGGATTCTGAAAAGTACTAAGAACTATTTTAAAATGCTTTTTTTTAAGTACCAATAAAGCAGGAACCGACCATGATTGTTATTTAATCTTTAAAACAAATACTATTTTTTTAAAAATTCATATCATTCATCTTTCTGCACATAGCCTAATTTGTCAGCTGTACTAATCCTTCAGTTTGGAAGCAAAAATTTCTCAAACACACAGACTTTTATTGCAGCCTGATAACAACAACGTATAAAAATTGCCACAATATTAGATGATCATTCAAATCTTTATGCCTTCAACAGGAACCAAAATTATTCTTTATGTAAAATTATACTTACTGTAATCATTTAACTATTTTGAATTCCTTCCTTTTTAATAACAACATAAACTTGATTCTATTAGATATATTCTTTTCTTCCACAATATTATAAATTTAAATTAAATTTATCAGTAGATGGTGGCCTAACTGCCTGCCTAAAACCAAATTACTTTATTTCTAATTACTAAATTAGCCTAGTTACAGCTCAATAAATAATCGGGAAGTTCATCGGCATTGCTTTCTTTACATAATCTACGTAAAATGTTTATATTTGCTATGTTATCTTTTTGTAGAGCACAGTTCATCAGCCAGATGAAAAATTAATAGATAACACTGTTTTGTCCCAAGAACAAAAATGTATCATCAAAATAAAATGCGCAATTTGTCAAGTTATATTAAATTTTGAAACATTTGACAATTCTTTTCGATTACGTTCCTTAATTATCAACATGTTAAAGAAATCCGTGCTATGTAATGAGAACTAACATTTTGTTTATTAAATTCTTGTAAAAACCGAATAAACCAATGTTTTCTAAAAATATATTTTTACATTTTGACAAATAATTTCCAAAAACGCTTACAGTAGTTCAGCTACAAAGTTGAAAACATCAAACTCCAGTAGCAGCCTACAAGAAAAAATCATTGAATTGGTATATTTTCATCATCTTTGGAACTTTTTTCAAAAAAGTAAATATTTTTTAGTTTCAGAAAACACTAATTTATATTAAATTCCTATAAGGAAGAACGTGACAAAAGCTAATTTTACATTTTGCTACTATTCACTTCTTAATTAAAATGTAAAAATTTATCTATATGCAGCCACTAAAATCACAAAGTATTGAAATTTAATTTAATTTAAATGAATGAAATTATAACAGAATACAACAGGTTTATAAAACATGGTAAAAGAGTTGTGAACATTAACAAATGAAGAGTGAAAATCAATTAATTAAAAATCTTGAAATACAATAGAGTTAGTTCTAATGACTGTTTCTGACAGTCCTAACTGCTATTTTCAGGTTAAAACACAGGAAATTAATATGTATTGTAATTGAGCTTATTGTATATTTTCAATATGCATATTCATTAAATTATTTAAATAACAACCTTGGTATTCCAAATACCGTCACATGCTAGAGTTTGACACAAAGACAGTTATGCAATTGTAAAATATCAAAAATATTATCATTAGAATTAGCTACATCAGAAAATATTTTTTTAATTATTCTATTTACTAATTCATCTACTTAAACACAGAAATAAAGGCACTTCATAATTTAATAATCTAAGAAACTTAATTTTTTATTTAGATGAATTCAAATAGAATTTAATTTAAACTAAGACCATGTTTAATAATGCTACATATTACGCTACTTTAATGTTTATTACACTAAGTTTATTACAGTACTTAATATTAATTTTCAAAAATTTGTCATGCAATCAATAACGAGAATATGTTGCATTGCTCTATGCATGACTTACTTCAGAGATGTGAAGTGTGTTTGCATATGAATGAGAGTCACGTATGTGATGTTATCTTTAAAATATAAATGCAAACTGTTATTTGAAAACCTGTGTAAAAATTTGCTTAAAATATTCAAAAGTTAATAACCATCTACTTATAATTGCCCATTTTCCTGCCGGACTTTGTACAACCAACTCTATTATGGTCTCATTTCAGGATGCGCAGAAGACATTTCCACAAAAAATTTAATACCAAAACTCACCACTTTGGCACTGTAAACAATAAACATTTTATTTGTAAAAAAGACACTCATGCTATACAGAGACCTTAACAGGAGATGCTGCTCAATATGGTTCTCATTCTAAAGGTTCAAAACATGAAGGCAATGATCACATGCGGTATGATACTATCTTCAAGGCTGCCAATTTGCAACATGACCTCAATAAATAGTCCTTTTTAAGTGCTTCCAAACCAAAAATTATCATAGAGTGCTACTGCACTCTAAAGCAAAGCTCAGACACACACAATTTTAAAGTGCCAACTCTGATCCTTAGTATCTCCATGATCAATGAACCAATTCAGATGAAATTTAAAAATTTGGTTTTCATAATGGATGACTTAAATTTTGAATAAATTCTTCAGAATGTTTTGGACTTACACAACCATCATTTTGTCACTTAGATTTACAAAGAGAGAATAGCAACACCAAGTTACCAAACAATATAGAAGGAATCTGCTATATTGTTTGGAGGAATCATATGTTTAATAACTTTTTTGAGAGCTGACTGCCTCCTGTTTGTCCTTTTGAAGGCTTTATTTAAAGATATTGAGTGTTTATAAAATAATATCCCATTTTTTAAAAATTTTAACACATTAATGGTCAATCAGCTATTATGTGACATGAGGTAGTGCATGCTGTTGTATGACTGTCAAATGAAAATAACATCATATAATCTCAGATAATTCATAGATCAAAAGTAATTGCATTATGATCATAATGCAATTACTTTTGATCTATGAATTAATGCAAATCTAATGATTTAATAAACTAGCAACAAGTTGCTCAACTTTCCCGGCAACATTTAAAATTTTAGTGGCACCATCTGTTATCATATTTCATTTAAACTTTTTATATTTTTAACTAAAATGGCAAAAAGCTTAATTTTGAGGGTAGACATGTCTTTTATAAATAATTGTAAATGCTAATAACGAGTAAAATCATCATTAAGTCTGACCCTCATTATCTCCCCACTTCCTCGACCTTTAACCACCAAACTTTAAAAGTATCAATTTCCCTAATAAATGTACCTCCATGCAAAATTTCAGAAATTTTTCACAAAAAGCAAGCACAGGAGTCACTAAGCTTCAAAGAAAATGAACAAATTGTGCCTCTCACACAAACATCAACATCCATACATACTGAAATAACATCCCATTTTTGCATATTATTAGTCAATCTGTTATTATGCAACATTGTGTACTGCAGGCTATCACATGATCACACAACTGTCTAGTGAATATAGAATTATCATGAAAACTGTTCTATTATGCAGTTATTGATGACTGAAAATTACTTGAAATCCCATAAACAAACTGGTGGAATCAAGTTGAAAAGTAAAGCTCATTGAAAACATCTAAATAAAGGAAACTTTTGAAAGTTGTGGCATAAGAATATTGAAAACAGATTTTACAGTAAGACTAAGGTAACTTAGATTTTAACATTGGTGAAGTGGGACAAAATTGACGTGGGAATGGTTATCCTGTTGAAAAAAATTGTTCTAGAGCAACAAAATTTTATTATCAAAGAACATAAAAATTGTATTGTATTATATTTTTTAAATTTTAACATTTGTAAAATTTACAAATATAAAAAATCTTTAAAAACTATTCTTTTGCATATTTCTCATTTGAGTGAATTTTTTTTTAATTAATAGATTGATGTCATTTAAAATGTCATGAAATTTTTTGCAAGAATTTGTTAAATTATATTTCACACATAATATGGCTTTCAAAGTCAACACTTAATTGTGATATATTGAATGTCCACACTTTATTTACGGTAGAAAAACCACATTCAGTCGTGGCATTAGTTCCTGGTAAGAGTAGCATGTATGCCACAATTTTTAATGCATTGTTGTATGGAACATAGTTTGTTTCAAAATGATAAAATATTTCTAACCATTTGTTCTCTGTTGAGATTTTTGCCAATGCCCAATGTATGTTCCTGCATGATGATGGCTGTTATAGCCAATAACATCATTCAATAGTTGTGGTTACTTTTATACCCAGAACTTGGCTAAACATGCTTAAGCAAAAGAAACTGTTTTTCATTACTTGTAGTACCAAATGTCCCACAGTGATGAGTTATTACTAATTCTCTTTATGGAAATAGGTACCAGATGAATTGAAATTTCATCATACCAGATATGACTGCATTTGGACTGATAAATCTCTCTCTAGACAGTATTAAATAAGAGTACTTTAATTATAATCATCCTGTATATTAAGGTTAATAATAAAGTCAAGTGCTTCTTGAATATAGTTTCCTTTAACACAATAGTAAAGTTGCAAGAGTCACAAACAACAAAGAATTTGCTGCAGCAATTAACATTTGCTGAATTTACGAATTTAGTAGATAGAAAATTTAACAAACTGCATTTATTAAAAATACAGGTGCTCCCCTACTTATGAGCAGATTAGGTTCCTGAGATTTTGTCGTAAGTCAAAAACTAATCTATAAAATAAATGGTTATTCTGTGTACAAATGTATGGTTAGTGTTTGATCCTTCAATGTACTTAATAGAATACATTATAATCATTTACCTGCTCACTACTATTTAGTAGCAGGTGTTTCAAATGTGGTTTTTTAACATAACATATTTAGTTTTATAATGTTCAGTTTAGTTTCCATGGTAATAGAGGGATACTTTTTGGATTTATCTCCACTGCTACATTTATACTACATTTTTGACACATTTTTGAAGCACTATAGAACTTTATACAAATTGCAAGCAGTAGCAAAAACACCATTACCCCAACATTACCAACTTCAACACCATCTCACAAGCAACAATGGAACCTCGGAATTCACACAAAAATGAAAAATAATGACACACAATAGAAATAAGACCACATTAATTATTTATTAAAAATTGATTATTTAATACTTGCCAAAGACTGGAAAATCAATCACTAAATTTTAAAAATTAGTTTCTTTGACGATAAAACATGCAAATACAGTAATACCCCGAACTTACGCGATAGGTTAGACCGAGCGATAACTGCGTAACTCGGGGCATAATTTCGCAATTTGTGTAAAATCCAAGTCGGATGTATGTAAGCTAATAAATGTTCTCGTTAATCTTATCTCGTCTTTTCATTCGTTCACGGTTACAAGAAATCACCACAGAGTCTCTCAAGTCTCCGTAGATATAATAAACACAAATAAATAACACAAAATAAATTGTAGCTATATGTCGATTCCGCGCGACACATCCGAACATGTAAGCTGAACAATAGGTGTGGGGGGAGTGAGTAATCAAGAGTTGAGTGGCGCTCAAACAAAAGATGAATCGACGAGATTTGAAAATCGCGTAACTCCAGGTTCGCATAAGTTGAGGTATTACTGTACACATGCCTCATTAAAACAATGTTCTGTTCCAACTGTCCCTCCTGGAACAAAAATCTTAGTGCCATTACTGGCTGTCAGGCCAAACAATTGACAGTGTACTATAGTAATAATGATATTGCAGGTATAAAGGTTTGTTTCTTATATAAGAGTTTAACTTAATGAACAAGTACTTTTGATCCTCATAGTAATCTTTGTCAATCTTCAGGTTCACAAAGATTGAACTCACAGTAAAAAAAAAATAATTGTATTTATTTCATTTCAAATATTTAAAAACATTCCAACAGTTAACAAATTATTATATATAATGACATTTAAATAAAAATACATACATGTAAAGTAAATATACAAAAATTAATGAAATTATTAGATAGATACAGAAATGAACAGTGGGTGTATGGTCTTACAATATCTAATAGCATTCATTTTTTATATATGAAATATCAGGTGTTATGGAAGTTGTCAACATCTTTGGCATTGACACACTGCTTGACCGTCAAGAGCTTATAAATTTATATTTTTCTTTAAAGTTC